CAGTGTTTTGCCGTTTGTTTGTTGATAAATTCAAAGTTTTCTACGTATAATCAGTACTAGCGCTACGCGGAGCAGATTGGCTGGTTCTGCGTGTTTGCGTGTTGTTTCGTTTCTGATTTTCTTTTTTTTATGACGGTAGTGGTACAGGCACGAGGGGGGGGCCATCCAGCTCCCAAACTATGAATTTGAAATGTGGCGCGGCAAGTGGAAACCGTCGATCTACATCTTTCCCTCAGTGTGGAAAGAGTTGGCGACTTTGAAGGAGACGCTTTTACGGATGAAAAAGAGCCCCCATGCTCATCAGGTTATTGACTCTACGGTTTTCTACTTCAAGGACAACTCGGGCGTATACTGGATCGCTACTACCGGATCCTCTAAGAATCGCGCTCTCCACGAGTTGATCAGTGAGATCCGCCTACTTGAACTCGAACTGAAATGCACCCTCCAAGTAATCCACGTTCCTGGCAAGGTACTGATCACACAAGGTACTGATGGTCTCAGTTGCGGCGTTTGGATGTCTCAACTGCAGAACATCATGGACCCTGACCGCCTGACCCAGGCTATCTTCGACCCGGTTCCGTTTGACCCTGCTTTGGTTTGGGAATACCTTCCCTTCCTGTCACATCACGCCAGCCACTGGACCTTCCAACATTGGAACCAACCATGGGTCGCTGCCACCTGTTTGCATCAAACCACTGTGTGGTGCCCACCTCCAGAGTTGGCTCACCAATTTCTTACCTTCCTCCTCAACTCTTGGGTTGAGTGCCCGTACACTACGTCCCTTGTGTTTTGGAGGCCTCATGGCGCCACATGTCCCGTTACGTCTTGGAACTTCAGACCATCTACCCCCATGCATCCCCTCTCCGCCGTCCGCCACTCCTGCCAATCCCAATTGTGATTCTATACATCCCACCTCACCAACCAACTCTTTTGCCTAGCCGGTTGGACAAGACTCCCAATCCCGCCCCCTCGTGGCATGCTGCCCAAGCCGAATTAATGCGCAGGCTGCCAGATGGGTTTCCGTCCGAGGGATCTTAAGTCACGGCTGCAATGTACCTTCGCTTTGTCCGGTTTTGGGAAATTCCGTCGCTGTGGGACCTGCTATCATCCTGGTTGCTTCCGTGCAGGAGAACCGTTCAAGACTCATCGGCTCAGAGATGAGGGTTTGGTGTTCCCAGCCCAGGCGGCTTGGCCCAACTTTGTGTGTGAGGCATGTACGGTCCGTCAACACCTCCAACGCGAACTGTTCAAAGCTGATGACGTACCGCTGCTATGCTGGAACGCGTCGGCTCCTTGACATCATCTCGTCTTGGGCCAAAGGCACCCATTCCACATACAAATCAAAGCTTAACATGGTCCATCAGTTTGAGCAGGAATTTGATCTGACCATTCTCCGGCCCACTCCCCTCGTGGAACCACCATCCGGCCCTGAAATTCCCCTCATGTGGTGTCAAGAATGGTACAGTCTTTGGCAGTCAAGGAAGAGATATGACCATGATGTTCAAACACCGATAAGTTTCAGTACTATCCCGTGGCTCTCATTGGATGCCATCAATTCCTTGCAAGCTGCCTACATGTCAGCAGACAAAAAGGCCGTCTACCAATCATGCCGCCCAACCGACAACTTGTCCTTTCAGTTGTTTGCAAAAGGGATGGTAGCACGTTTGGGTGACCACACTTGCCCCTCCGTAGCCCTCTTGGATTGCCATGTTCATTTCCTGGATTCCGCCCTTGATCAAATGTTCTTGGACGCTGAGAACAACTTCCAACACCGCAAACTTTCTCTCGCTGGCCTTGTTAATCTTACTCTTTGGCTCGGATGGCTCCGATCCTCAGAGCGTTTTGGTCTCAATTAGGAAGATTGCTCCCTTGTGGAGCCTGATGGTCACGCAGTTGAAGACCTTCCAACCAACTGCGGTATGGTCACGTTTTGACTCAATCCTGTCACCAAGTCAGACCGCGCCTGGATGGCTGATGTCATTATCGCTTATACCACCTGATCAGGTTTCTTGATGGGAAAATGGTTTTGCCGGGCACTAAGGTACCGGGCCCGACCTACAGGGCCTGTTTTCTGCCGTGTTACTGGATCCACTTGGACCTCCCACTTCTTTCGGTCCACCTACTTGTACCCCAGTCTCCACAAACAACGTAACGATGGAGACCCTCTTCTTTGGCCTTATGACGGCACTCCTGGTAACTTCATTGCAAGCCGCTTCTGGTCCCTTCACTGCTACCGCCGCGGGGGCCGCACCCACGTCTCACGGGGAGACATATGTGACGGCGCCCGTCTCACTGTCGCCTCCAAAACTATGGTCTATGAACACGGCCGCTGGCGTCTACGCCGCGCCAACGAAGACGTCGACGCCACCTACCGCGAATGGAAGCCCTGTAACCGGGTCAAAATAACATGGCAGTGCTTGGGGGGAAGAGAACCTGGCTGGAGTCGCAAGTGAATGTTTGGCCAAGGGGGAAAGAAATGGACGCAGGATCTACCCTTCAGGGTACGATCCTGTGGAGACTTTAGCCTACATACTCCTCGAGATTAACCTCGTCGAGTTTTGCGCTGGTGCCTCACCCGGATCCGAGCCACCAATTATGATACGAATGAACGACTCCCAACCGGCATAAATATATGCGGGCAGGTTGAACAATGACGATTCATTCGGAGGCTACTGTATTATCTCTGGCTTTCTAATTTTGAAAAACGTGCAGTATGGAATAGAAAAGGATTCGGTTGATGTGAAAGGATGATCTCAATGCTGCTCTTTCGGTGCTGCCGATCTTTCAAAGGGCATGGCTACTACTTTCAGGTACGCTTGCTTCTAAAATAACATAACTCCAAAACCTTCGATAGCAGAACAGGTAGACCATGGCTGCCTGGCTAAAGCAAAAGAAAAACTTTGCATTTATTCGATCTGGAAGTTTCATTGTGAGTGTCTTGATCAAATGAGAGGTTTCCAAGATCAATCAAGTCTCACTTTAGCGTTTCCCATCATCATAGAAAATGATTTTGGCTCACGTGAACTCGTAGAAGCTGAAGTCAAACTGTCTACAAGACTTTCTTGTGCCACAGACATATGGCTCAATTTGTGGTACGATGTAGAGTGCGCTGTGACCAACCAACTGAGCAGAAGAATGCTCGTCGATTGACAAGCTGCGCTCCAAACTCCGATCGTGACGTGCCTTTGGTGATAGACTACAAAAGTGTTGACAATCGTCGTCAAGACTGGTAACGAAAAGAACCACAGAGCACCGACAATTGCAAACTTTGTATAGAATGCATGCAACGAAATCGGACATCTGATTCTTGTCTGGAAGCAAGCACCAGTAAAGACCAAACCAAGACTTGATCTCAAGAACATAAGAATTTTTCCTGGAAGGTGTGCAAGGTCATGGTAGCTGTCGAAGTCATCATTGTAAATCCGTCCCCATTGAGCAAGGGCTATGTGCGACACTATTATCCCAATAGCAAAATAGGTGGTGGCAGATGGCGAAGAAAGCGCCCCAAAAGGGGACTTTAAGCCGCCAATGATCTTTTGAATGAAGGTTGCATTGTGTTGCACTCTGACGACATCGGAAGGTAAAGTCCACCCAGCAGCAACAGACAGGAGTAACAATACAACCAACCCATCGCAAATTGCCTCCATGTGGGCACTGAGCGCATCAAGAAAGTAACTACCAACCCCATTTCCTGCATACAGCTTGAGGTGGACAATCTCCAGAAGACTAGATAGAGCGTCTGAGACAGCAGCTGCCAGAACCCAGAACATTGCTGCATGGACAGACGAATTTTCGTAGAGTTGGATCACCACCCCAAGACCAAGCAGAGCTGCAACAATCAAGCCAACAAGCAGTGTTATTGTGTGCAACATCTTGAGATGACTTTCATCAGCTGCAAGATGGCTCCCGTCGTTCCATGTCTCTACTCTGTAATGGAGTTTTGGGATGCTAAGTGCCTGATGAGATGATGTTCCACAGGGAAAAATGAGAAAATCCATTGTATCTTACCTTTTGTCGTGCATGTAGAACTCCAGGGAACAATCAGTAATTACAAAATAGAAGTAGCGAGGGCGGGTGCCCTTTTCATTGTTCAGAGGCATTGCCACTTCAGCCTCATATTTTATTGCCTTTCTCTGTTGTGTAACATGTTCATTGATAGAGCCATACGGCACTTTTTCGGTGCAGCTGGGGCTTTTCTCAAATAATGGCCACTTATCATCCTCAATCAATCGGACATATAAATCTTTATTCATCTGATATGGATCTTTGCTTTGAATTTTGGCTTTCATATAACCCATTTTCCCGGCCGCTAAACGCAAGAGTTAAGAAACAGAGTCGTCGCGTTGCGTTGATGAAGGAAAGTGATACTTACAAACTGCAAAGGAATCTAGGACATACTCCGTATTCAGGCCTGACAGCGTGAAGTCTCCTGATTTCCTTTTGGAAAAAACGGAGGGCACATATATAAGGATAGCCCAGAAGAGGAATATCGGGCGTTTGAGAGAAATCCGGAATCTCATTTCCAGGGATATTAGCCGTTGTTTAGTCCTGCCTTTTCTTTTTGTTGAAAGTCGAGATCTGTGACAGATCGTTTTTGGAGACTGGCTTCAACGGAGAAATAGTGAGATGGAGATTGATGTCTCAACTCACTGTGCCGGTACCATACAGACCGGTACCTGGTACCGGTATCTGTCATCACGTTCTGAATCATTGAACTATAAAATGAGATCCTTGCCTTGCATGACTCGACCCAAACAGTATTTTCATTCTCTATCCATGGGAGGTCGGACTGCTTTTCTAAAAGACACGAGACCTAACGCCGAGCAGTAACATTGCGCACCGTTTTGATCTTGTCAAGAAGGATTTGCATAGTTAGTGGCTGCTACTCTAAAACTTGAGAAGTCCGATCTCTACTAGATGGAAAATACTACTGATTTGTTCCTTGCATAAGATCGACTGGGCTGGGATACACATTTACCGATATCGATATCCCCTACCTATTCAGGAAATGATGTTGATGACATTTACTCGTTGTCCTTGCCATCGTCTTCGTCAGAAGTCCACAAAGTCAGGTTGTCACGAAGCAACTGCATGATCAAAGTAGAATCCTTGTATGATTCTTCGTTGAGAGTGTCAAGTTCGGCGATGGCATCATCAAAAGCCTGCGATGGAAAATGATGGCGTTGTGAGTGTGGGTAAGATTACAACCGATTCGATATGCTCAAAGTATTCTAATCCCACAATTACGTACCTGCTTTGCAATTTGGCACGCTTGGTCAGGGGAGTTGAGAATTTCGTAGTGGAAAACAGAAAAGTTGAGAGCCAAACCAAGGCGGATGGGGTGAGTTGGGGGGAGGTCTTTGGTTGCAATTCCACTGGCAGATTGGTAAGCATCAAGGGCTGCTCCAGCACTCTCCTTGCGAGTGTCTCCAGTTTGGAATTCAGAGAGGTAACGGTTGTAATCACCCTTCATTTTGTAGTAGAATACCTTGGCCTCCTCGGAAGAAGAATTGGGAATCAAAGAATCATCAATAGTACTCAAGATGTCATTGCAGACATCAACAAGTTCGGTTTCAATCTTTGTCTTGTAATCCTTGATGATTTCCATCTTGTCAGAGTCTCCCTTTTGCTCAATGGAAGTGACAACACGCCAAGATGCTCGGCGAGAGCCGATGACATTCTTGTAGGCAACAGACAACAAGTTACGCTCTTCCACAGAGAGCTCTTGAGGCTGCTTTCCTACTTCCTTCATGTCTGCCACCATTTCATCGAAGCGCTCGGCTTGTTCGGCGAGCTTGGCTTTGTATACGAGAGAGTCGCGATCCATGGTTGATTACTTGCGGCTACAGTAAAGACACGAGAGTTTGTGGTGCCTGTGAAACCGAATGAATTTGGTGTTGACTTCTTGTACCAGCTGGTACAAGAGGTACCCGTAGAGTTCCTGCTTGCACCGTACCTGGTACTGGTACCGGTACCTACATACCAGTGTTATCTATGCCAGTTGTTGTCATCAAAATGACTTTTGAAAAAGGAATAATTTAGGCCTTAATAAAAGCTTTCTTGACGAACGACGAACTGCTGAGACCTGACAGTGAAACAAACAAAAAAAGCAAGAGCCAAAATTTCCGTCTCACAATCTTGACATACGACAGCTCTAGGCACGTATATTACTTTCAAGCATGCAGGTGTGTACAGTTTTTATAATTTTGCGAGTTTCGTTTCGGATGATGACGGTGGATTCTTGAAGAGTGGTGTGCTAAGCATGGGTGGAGTGATTTTCTGGTTGAAACGTACAATTGATGTGCTGTCCAACACTAAGGCACAAAAGAGAAAGATCTACAAGCTATCCCAATTTCGTCTTTTGAAATTTTCTCATCGAGGATGATTGTATCATGTTTCTTTGCGTTCAGCGTCTCACTCATTGCTTCGTGCCATCTCATTTCTTCAGATTTTCATTAAGACTCTGACTGGGCGTAAACAAGCTTTCAACTTCGAACCTGAGAATCAAGTTTTGGCTGTGAAGCAGGCACTACAAGAGAAGGAGGGCATTCAAGTTGACCAAATCCGATTGATTCACTCGGGAAAACAACTTGCGGACGACAAGACTTTGGAATCCTACAACATCGCTGCTGGAGCCACTATTCACATGGTCTTGCAATTGAGAGGAGGGTCATTCTAGCCTAGATTTTCGTCTTCTACTTTCAATAAATTTGTAAGGTTCTTAAAATTCTTAATCTCTCAGATATCTTAGATGTGTTCTACCTTGAATCGTTCGCAAGTCGACGCAGCAGTGGAATCTCATCGTCTAGAATAGATTGCAGGCGTTGCAACTCGCTTTCGGAGACAGTTGGCAACTTGCCACCACTTGCAAATTCATTTTTTAGAGCACTTTGTAGAGAAACTCGACTTCTTTGATAGAGACTCGCCGTGAACTCGTCCCCGTCGTGGACTTGAAGCGCATGAGTGCGCTGGAACGAAGAGCTCAAAGCTTCCAAGCTTGTCAAGTCGTCTTGCATGCGTTGAAGGTACGTCTGGTGATACCAGAACAAAGCACCTACCGAAAGGATTGACCCACCAAAGACACCACCCTGAATCATTGGATCTATTGCAAGGTAGTTCAAGCCACCAAACCCTGCTCCTCCAACTAATGACCATCCGGCCTCTTGAAGGCGGCAACTTCTCCATTCCCTAACGAATCGCGATACTACGTCATTCCAAATTTTCGAGTACAAAATTAGCATCGAGGTGGAATCAAAAAGGTTAGTGATCACATTGTCAATCCGACGCTTTGGCGCTTGCATCACTTGCTGTACAACTTCGTCTCTAGTGTGCTCTAGATCTCGTAGACTCTCGGCAAGTGTCGAAGTTTGATTTTGATCGTTTGGAAGGCTCATTGTATAGATTGGACTGTTGCCAAATGGAACGTGTGAGTATCGAACCGCAAAACATGAAAGCAGCTGTGTAACAGAGAACTCACGGGAGATCTTTACGTGGAATGACTTTGCTTAGGTTCCAGCAGAGGGATCCGTATGCTCGTGCGAAGTCATGGATTTTGTAGAACTGATCTGCTTTGTTCAGAATGATAATCAGCTTGTGGTCTATTCCTGAGAGACACCTTAATAGAACATCCATCGTTTCTCCTGTGGTCCCAGGCTTGTCTGGGTCAAAAAAGAGCATGACAATGTCGGCTCGCTGCGACAGCCATCGCACTACACCTGGAAAATCGTAACCACGGTCCATAACATTATTTCCCTTTTGATTCAAATTTACAGGCGCATCAATCATTCCTGGAGAGTCAACGAGCATGAAATCTAAATGAGAGTCTCGTTGTTTTAGTTGGGTGTGATGTATTAGCGTAGGACCAAATCGACGAAGGCTTGCAAAACCCATATCAGGATCACCAACCAAAGTTGGACCATCAGAATCTTTATCTTCTGCCCCCGGTGCAATTACAGTGAATTTATCATCTGTCGGAGCAACACCAGCGGTCTGAATGTTCCTTTTCAAGACGTAGTTGATGAAGCTGGACTTGCCAGAAGAGTGGTTCCCAACCAATAGAACATAGCTGCAAGAGTGGAACAGAAGAAAGTTAGAAAAATAAAGCAAACGGCATCCCTTGCAAGAAAGAAATAGGACATACGGTAGTTTTGTGCCACGGTCAGTGGGTGATGAAATAGCAACCCCGCCCAATCTGTCATTTAGGCTCGTCAAGGAATCGTACAGCCGAGAGCACTGTTCCAAAACTTCCTGGCTTTCTGATCTTTTGGATCCCAAGGTGGCTTCGGAATCTTGGGAATCCATGAACTCCAAACAAGATGTTGTCCGAAATCCTCGTTTGAAGAAAAAAGTTGGTGTTCCTCTCAAAGTCAGGTCAGAGCCGACCTTCGAACCGGGTGATTTGATCATGCATCGCCGATAGGCATTCCTGATCATAGAGCGATGAATCATCATCGTAGCAATGAAAATAAAATTGAAAAAAGGAGATTTGGACCACTTTGACTGGTTTTAGGGGGCTGGAAGATATGCAGTAGAGAAAAAATAAACTTGGGTACCCGTACTGTACGGGATATGGTTCTGTGACTACTAACACCTGG